TACAGACTAACTGCAAAGACTCCCTTTTTGTGCTTCGCACACGGGAGTCAAAAACAAATCAATTCATATTTGGATTTTTGTTAACAACAATAACACAATGAACTACGCATTTCTATAAACTAGTGAACTTTTCTAAGAATTCATTTATAACAGCTTGTATTAATGACCGTGGACAAGACTTACAAAAATTACTCTTACAGATGTTACAGTTATGAAAATATGAGGGGAAAAAAAATGAGTGTCTATTCAAATTATAATGTACACGTGGATAGGTTCAAATATATTAATGCAATGCCTGCTGAAAGCGTTTACGAATATGGTACATGTAGCTTGAATGAGAAAAAAAAAAGCGATGCGTTAATTCACTACGGTTGTCATGCAATTTTGACGTGGGTTCCATATGCAACACAAACAGGTTACATTGTTTACATGAAATTCACATACACACTTTAATAGTGATAAATGTGGCATGTTCCCCTGCTATTTGTTTTACAACTTTTTGCTTAACTTTTTTTGTTGATGCTCACTATGAAAGAGACACTAGGTACTGTACAAAAAATATGAAATAAATAACAGAATGAAATAGAAATATATATATAATTCATTATAAAATATTAGAAAACATATCAGGTGACTCAGGAGAATATATCTGATTTAATTATATGTTTTTTCCCATGTATGAATTTTTTTTAATTACCATTTCAAACCAAATGTACATAATTTAAGCAAAAAGAAAATGTTACAGGTTGTCACACTCGTTTACGTTTTGTACACGTACGAGTGTGCAGTAACGGGTTGGCAAGAACCAATAATTCACACTTGAAGACAAAATAATGGTATTGGTCGTTCACTGCTGCGGTTGTTAAATGTACATGTCCGCATTTATGTTAATACCAGTAAAACTTATGGACAATGTTATTGCAGCAGATCGCAAGTCTGGATGATACTTATTACCGCTTCGCAGGAACAAGTCATTGAAAATGACACAGTCCCATTAAATTTTTGAAAGTTCTCTTTGTGCTTGTTATATTGTGGCGTATACAACAGATTGTTTATTTACATCAAAACACGTGTTGCGTGTAGTAGTAATATGGCCAAAAATAAAAACAGCCGTTATTCGGCCATCTTTGATCTGATTATGAAACACACTGATATGTATGATGTATGTGCCAAATACGAATGAAAATGGTACATAAATTGTGGAAATATAGTAGTAAGGCCAAAAAGTCAGATGGCTGTCAATCGGCCATCCTTGTATAACATCCTAACATGTATAATCTATATAACCAAGTTTGAATGACAACTGACAAAGCATGTCCAAAATACAACTTTTTCAAAAAACAAGATGGCTGCCAGTCGGCCATTTTGAATCGAATCACTAAACTACTGCATGTGCATATGTCCCACACAAAGTACTAGGCACATGCAAAGAATGAACGAAATCGGTCCAAGGGATTCTGAGATATGACTCCGCACGGACGGAGACCGAATTATAAGTCCCCGTTTTCGGACTTCGTCTGAACGTGGACTAATAACGATTAACAGCAGTGAACAACACCTTAATCTCATTTTATCTTTGAGCGCAAATGACTGGCCAATCAGTCACTGTGCACACGCATGCACACAGAACATAAATAAGTATTCAAAGTATATAAATGTAGGAAAAAATTCCAATTCTCAGCAAGTGAGGGTATATAGGAATTTAGCATATTCCATAAAGCTACTTCAAGCACAAAGTAAAATCATCTACAGTAATTAAACGATCAAAAGTACAATGAATAAAAACTTGCAAAATATTTATGTGGATACGTTTTATATTTTCAATGTTAAAAAGCAGCGGTCATCGCGCAGTGCGTGTCTGAATTTCATGTAAACAGACAATGTATTATACAAATCATGTCGTGCATGTTGAGTCCCATAATGGACAGAATACGATGCGACTACCATCGCCCTTTACTATTTACGTTCCACTGGAAGATATTATGAATAATACTCCAGAAAAATTTGTCATCCCAATTCATGTAGTTTGAACAAAATTTGTTAAAAAGGCACAAGTCAAATGATTCTCACATCTCAGTTTCAAACAATAAATAGAACATTTTTTTTAAAGTATTTTTGTGCCAGGCGACAGTTCCGGACATTGAATGTCACTGTTGTCTCTCCTGACTTTTTTTTTTTGTATGTGCAAATTGCAAGTGCTAGTGCTGACACAGAAATCATTTCCTGTTTGGGACTACATGACAGAGCTGTGTGGCCATCTTCCTATCAAATGGCAATTTAATGCGCTATCCTGGCGTCAACCAGGCTCGGTCGAACACAAGCACCTGCGGACCTTAACCAAGGTTCCCCCAACATCGCATTCATTAGTGAATGAATCTCTGCCAGTGGATTGGCCTTCCCATCGAGTCTGTAGCACACTCACCCAGGGTAGGGGTCGACCCTGTTAATGTTCAGCCTATGGTAGGATTTGAACTTGGGTCTACCAATCATGAGTCTGATGCGACAACCACTATGAGGTCCCAGTAATGAGGGAGGGAGGACCCACGAAATGAGGGAGGGAGGACCCACGAAATGAGGGAGGGAGGTCCCACGAAATGAAAGGACCCATGAAATAAAAGATGAAGGACCCACGAATTTTGATTAAATTTCCTGTACTAAATATCAAGGAAATAAAGCATAACATCCAATGTTAAGTTGTCTAAACCACCTGAAAATCGTTGCCACCCATGGTTTTGGGCACAACATTAATTTTATTTCAATTTTATCTTAATTATGAAACAAACACGTAAAATATACCATGTATACAAGGAATGAGGTATTTGTAATACCAAAACATCTTATTATACAAGAGGTAATAAATATGTTACATACCTATTTTATTTAACATTCTAAAATCCGACTTTAGTGTCATATGATACATTACATATATAATTCAACTGCTTTTAATATTTCAGTTGCAAGATATTCACATAAAGCAATATACAGCTGCTCTTAGATTTTCCCAGCATATTTTGAAAAAAAAAATACAAAATTGTGGGGTGGAGGTATTACTATCAGTTAAATAAAAAAAAACTGTTGAAATACAATATAGATAAGAAACTAAGAACAGAAAAGAAAACCAAAAAAATAGATTTGTTTTTCTAGAAGCCAAAATATTGATATTAAACATTTTTTGAGCGTATAACATCAGCTTCGCTCATGTGCGGTAGAATTTTTAAGAGTTCGTTGATGCCATCTTGAACTGTCAACGTAGTACTGAAGCCGATCTTACGGATCTTCTCATAAGATACCTCGTAGTCACGCTTGTCTTTATCCTCCCCATTTTTTGATTCGGTGATCCTGCATCCCTTGACGCTCTTCTGTATCAAGTGTGCAATGTCGGATTTTGTCATATTCATACTTTCGTGTCCAACGTTATATGCATTGCCACTCATTTTGTCGTAATTTTCAAGGGCCAGTATAAAGCATCGGGCAGCGTCCTTTACATGCAGGAATGTACGGCGATAACTGCCTTGGTAAAGATCGAAATGCTTCAAATTCAGTCCTTTGTGTGTTAAGTCATTAACGAGCAGATCCAAGCGCATGCGAGGGGCAACGCCAAACACAGTTGCAAGTCGGAGGCCAACACCACCAACATTACACACTAGCTCTTCTCCTTTAGCTTTTGTGCTACCATATAAGGTAAGTGGGCAGATCGGTGTATCTTCTGAGCAGATTCCATCAACGGCTCCATAACAAGACCCTGTAGAAGCATATATCAGTTTCTGATAAGATTGCAGGTTCTTGGTTATGGTCTCCGTGGCGCCCACGTTGATTGCACAGGCTTTATCGGGTTCTTTGTCGCATGCCGGATACCCAACTACAGCAGCCAAGTGAATGATCACATCAACATTCTCCATGACTTTAACCAAATGTGCCTCGTCACAAACATCCCCCTTGATTATATGTAAATTGGGGTCACCTGCAAGCGGCAATAAAGAGTTTATGCCCCAGCGAAAAATATCATAAACAGTCACCTTGTAGCCATCTCTTAGTAGCATTGGTACCAGCGTTGATCCCAAGTAGCCAGCTCCGCCAGTTACTAACACATGGGTCTTGTTATCATTCTCCTGGTAGCCATTTTGATTGATAAGCAGTCCATTAGTGAAACCGTTCATTTTACCATTCGTCATACCGTTAACACCGTTTAGGGCGCTATTTACTGCATGTCCATTATGAGCCATTGTGTTTTGTAACTCTACAACAAAATGAAAGAATTTGATTGATTAATTAATAAATTATAAATTAATACAAGGGTGACGAGCACAACTGAAGTGATAAGAGTATGTTGCTTAGTGCATGAAACAGATCAAAAGGGTACAACGTGTGCAGACGATAAGTTTCAACTCATGCGTGCCAGTTTTGTTGCGGCTGGTAGTGATTTGTAACGAATCCAACAGAATTTACTGCCTGAACTAAACCACTGCAAAATTAAATGTACTGGTATAATTATTATAAATACATCTGCCACTTAAGTAAACAGTTATTTGCTCGTTTCTCTCTGAATCTCCATTCGGTTTATGAGATACGACTATGCATGGTATCAATCAGTAAATGAACGGAGTTATAAGGTCAATTGGTTGCATACCATCGTAGATTACAGCTATCTGAGATCACATGTGACCCACGCGAGTTTAGGAGACGTTTACAAAGCAACCCATGTTATGTTTTTATGTGTGTTACTAATATCTTCACTTCCAGCATACATTTGTAGTTATTTTAGTTTCACTTTTAACTAAGAACCTGATTCTGATTTAAAGCAGACAATGACAGATATTTTTTTTAACAGTGTGATTCAAATAATCACTCGGCATGTAGTTTTCGTCAATAGACAACATTTTTTCCACACTAAGGTCATATTGTCGTAGTGACATCAAAACATGACGTGGGATTCGACAAAAGAAGTACTGAAAATCGACTATTATTTATGATGTATACACCAGCACATGTAGAATCAGAAATATAGACATGGACAATGTTGAACTCTTGGGTCAATCAAAATACTTATTTGAACTTTAATCAACAGGTGGTACAATTATTGTGTAGGGGTGGCAGCTACTCCTTCGAGGGGCAGCTACTCTGCCTAAATGTGTCTCATATGAGTAACATAGGTAAATAAGTTGAAATCATTGATACGCAATTAAAAATAAAACATATTTTTGAAGAGACTATCTAGCTGACAGCCAGCTTGGAAACTACTCCCAGCGCAGACCAGCCACTGACCTGCTGCATCAACGAATAAAATAAAATGCACCAACTGAGCGGCACTTTTGTTCTTGACATCTGAATTATACAGTCTATTCAGTGAGAGTGTTGGATGCATGGGAGAGGTGGAAATACAGTTAACAGTTGCAATACTCAATACAAACATAAAATCTTTTATAAACCTATTGAATATGTACATGATAATGGTAATGGTAATGGTAAAAATAAACAATGAGCGAACAAGTACGTGGGTTGTTTTACAATGAAACCGAACCTGTTAACACAGTGGTACCAATTTTCAATTTAAAGATATCTTGCAAATGTCAATACTTATGATGGCTTTCTGAATAAAACAATAATCAAGATGACAATGCTTTTTGTCTTTCATCTTCTTTTCGACCTATTAAATAATAGCTTGCATTCATACTTCAATTCAAGTCGTAAAACGAACAATGTTTTACATAATGCATCTTTATCAGAGACACTGCTTTGAAACTGGTACTTTGAAGCGGGGGAGTTGTCACCTGTGTATGCGTCAGATGGCCATAGCGTATCATCGTTTACAAACAAGCCTTTACCCATGAACCTTTGAGTTTTTAGTGTGTGTTGATATCATCGCTTGGGACTCAATTCCCGTGTGTGCGCAGGTGATGACCCTCTCGCTTCAACAGCTTTGCATGAACGAAGGTTCAACTCAAACACTCAACGTTTATAGTTTAGCGTGTTCTATTTCGTTGCTTGATGCTGCAAGAATGGGTTAACGGCTGGCGTGCACAGTGCTTAGGTTGTAACTTAAGACATTTGAATGCGGACATTACTCTCAAAAATACATTTAATACCATCATATATTGTTGATGGTGATAGAATTGAAAACTATGCCATCATCTTATGAATGGTTTCAGAAATATGCATGAACAAAACTTTCAAAATTATACGTAGAATGTAGATTGAAAGAGCTCAATTGTGTTTTTCATTGGCACATGAATTGCCTCCAAGTCCAACCGTTCTTACATTCCTAGTTGCTATGTGTTAAGTGGAGACTCTCTGTCTACTATACTGATATTACAGTGTATACATATATTGCAGTGACTAGACTTTATGAACTGTTCACACAATAACACTGTGTAAATACAAGTCTCATTTGAAAAATTAACATAACACAATGTTATTATCAACGTCATTTAAAACAAGTACTTGACAACGCATTCGTAAGCATCCCAAATACTTGAGTCAAGGAAAGACTAAAAGAACATGTATCTATTTGGGGTTTTGTGCATTTATTCATTGTGTAGATTCCACTTACTAGTTGTTTAAAAGCTTTCCAGCCAAATAAATATGTTTAAAAGAATTTATTGATGACAAAATTTGGATTTAACCTTTCTTTGCTGTTATGGCTTTCTAAATTTAATTTGA